TGTGTGTGTGTGTGTGTGTGCTCTGACAGGAGAACCCGTTCAGAGACAGAATTGTGGAGACGTTCTCCGAGGACGGACAGGGGAACCTGAGCTTCAACGACTTTGTGGACATGTTCTCTGCTCTGTGCGAAACGTCGCCCAGAGAACTGAAGAACATTTACGCCTTCAAGATCTACGGTAACAATCTGCACACGTTGTCTGACCGAGCGTCTCCTGTCACTGTCCCTCAGCCGACATGTTCTGCCTCTGCTCCAGACTATAACAGGGACAACTTCATCTGTAAGGAGGACCTGGTGAAGACCCTGAACAAGCTGACCAAAGGAGAGCTGACGCCGGAGGAGGTGACGCTGGTGTGTGACAAGGCCATCGAGGAGGCCGACCTCGACGGAGACAGGAAACTCTCCTTCGCCGATTTCGAGAACATGATCTCGAAGGCTCCAGACTTCCTCAGGTACGAAGGTTGTTTTTTGATTTGTCGCTCATTTGTCGGGATCGTTATTATAAAGCTGTGTGTGTGTGTCTCTGTGTGTGTGTGTGTGTGTGTCTCTGTGTGTGTGTGTGTGTGTGTGTGTGTTGGGGGGGTCAGCTGAGTCCTCACCACTGAACCAACAGAGCAGCTCGATCAAACTCGTTTTACTGCAGACGATTCATCACACTTTCATTCCTCCGCCCAAACCAAGCAGAAAGAACTGGGGGGGGGGGTTCAGTCGTAAAACTGTCCATCACACTCAACCACAGATTAGCTGGAGACGAGGCTCTTGTTGCCATGGCAACCATGTGAGATAACGTGTGCGCTGCAGGTCACAGTCTCCTTGGTGTGTGTGTGTGTGTGTGTGTGTGTGTGTGTGTGTGTGTGTGTGTGTCATTATCTCTACTGGTTTCTACTTGTAGGGTCGCAGGGGGTGGGGGAGGGGGGGCAGGAGCCATTCCTGGCTGACTTCGGACAAGAGGCGGGGCTAAAACTGGACAGGTCGTAACAAGAAATATGAAATATGAAAATATGAAATATGTCGTCTTCTCTCTGCAGCAACTTCCACATACGAATATGATGCTGCGAAGGAGAGATGCCTCACCCCCCCCTCAGTGCCTGTCCTCTCTATCACCTGTGGAGAGACGTCCTCCAGATGTTCTCCAGACGTTCTCCAGACGTTCTCCAGACGTCCTTCAGCAGGACCTGAGGCTGGACTCAGGCCTGGTCTCTGGTGAATACAGACCAACAGTTTGTGCATGAAACTTTTCTCTCCGTTAAATTCTGAGCGAGGACAAGCTGATCTGATCCAGGAGAGCGTCTCTGAGGTCGGACGTCTCCTGTGGACACGTGGACACACAACAGGGCTTCTCTGACTCCAGTGCTTTGACAGAGACTTTTTGAAAAGCACACTTTTAAAGGGCAAACAGTGAAGAGCTATGCAATCTTTCCTCATGACGTGCATGTTGTAAATCGCTTGTAGCTGCAGCAACTTTCTACGTGTGGTGTCGTGAACGTTGTGATGCACAATGACAATCATAGTAACCTGTAGATCAGCTGATGGAAGGGCTCTGTCGTCTCACCTGTAACAAACCTGATCAAACAGCTTTCACTCATCAACACTGACCTTTTCTGGCTCCGCTCAAATAAAAGATTTTTCTGTGGCTTCACCACGACTCGTATCTTCTCTCATAGGAAATAAATTCTCCTGATGAAACTAAGACAAATCCTGGACATGACTTTTATTTTACACACCAGGAGAGCTGCATTCACTCTTCTACCTCGAGAGCAGAACACGAGCTGTGAGAGTGGAAGTTGTGCCTTCATCATTATCATGTTATGATTCTGTGCTGCCTCCGGGTCCAAACAAACGTGTCGTGTTTCCGTCTCTGCAGACGGATCGATGTCCTCTGTCTCCTGACACGTCCATGAATTCTCAGCTTCAGTTTCACATGAATGTGATTAGAGCCACTTCTGTTTATATAAAGACAAAGAAACGCTCGGCGTCGTATCTGATGACATTTAAAACCTCAACACAGCCGACGATCCAATATGGAGTCTGTCCAATCATCAGGCAGCAATCACTTCGAATGGTCCAATCACAGGACACCACCTGAGTGTGTGTGTGTGTGTCTGTGTGTGTGTGTGTGTCTGTGTGTGTCTGTGTGTGTGTGTGTGTCTGTGTGTGTCTGTGTGTGTCTGTGTATGTGTTATATTTCTTGCTTTTGTGGTGAAACAGCACAAACCTCCTGGGCCTTTGGTTTGTTGTGTAACACTCACCTCTGGTGGTCGGAGACGGGACTGTCACAGTCACAGTTTAAATGGCTTCATCAGGTCTTTTTGAATAAACTTATAACTTCATGAATTTGTTTTAATTAAAAATCTTTTTTTTTTTTAAATTCAAGTAGAGGAGTTGAAAGATAAAATCTGAACCAGAGAAGCTGATGAGTGAATCTGAAGGACGCATCAGAAAAACATCAGAATCAAAACAGAACTTTGATATTTGAAATTTGAAATTTGAAATTTGACAGCTTTAATAACATGACACAGCAGCTTTGATAACGTGACACAGCAGCTTTGATAACATGACACAGCAGCTTTGATAAC